AAAAAAAAAAAAAAAAAAAAAAAAAAAAAAGACCTCCGAGGGAAAGGCCGGCCTTCACTGGCCCTCTTGTATCTCTTCCTGGTACCTGAAGTTGGTCATCCTGGGAAAGGTGGCGGGGAGGTGTGGAACGGCAGAAGCCGCAGAGGTGAACAGATTTAGGGAGAGAGTTTGTCAAAATGGGCAGAAGGGAACAGGGAGGAAGTAAACCCGGAGAAAGACATTTGTGGCTGCATGAGATGCAGAGAGCAACGTCATGCTTTCCTCTTAAGCAAAAAACAAATTATAACCCCAGGGAAAGCGGGGACGTGAGTGGAGTCAGGGCTGGACCCAGGGTGAGGCAGATCAGGCGGGAAATTGAAGGGGTGCCAAACAACTCCGGAATCAAAAGAAATGATTTTCATGCGATACTTAAAAAATCAAAATCAATGCAGAAACTTTCTGCAAAATATCCCAGGCTGAAATAAAGTCCTGCATTTGTGTGACCTTTGCTGGTTTTGCCCTACCCTGATCCTGGAGTGCTGCCCGGTGCAAGGGGGCCCAGATTTTGAAAATACGACGGGAGCAATTAGGGGTCAGCCTTAGTATCTACCTACCAAGACACGTCCCTGCTGTTCCCGTCCCATTGCACAGTGTGTCTCATGGCTTCTAAGACTTAAGGGGCAAGGGGAGAAGAGCATTCTCAATTTGCTGCACCGCTGCTCCTCATTATACAGAGGTTCTCTCCAAGTACGTCCACGCACTTAAATATGGAATGAAGCAGAACCCTCTCGGGTGTTTGAGTATTTCTTTTATCTGGGGCTACGTTTTAATTTCCATTGATTTTAATAAAAAGCGATCTTAGGAACTCAGGTTAAAATTAAAACCAAAGTAAACTTGAGAATGTGGAGCTGCAGACATGAATAGAGGGCACAGAAAACCCACCTCAATAAAAATCCAGCTACGTGTCTGTCTTTAGTTTTAAAAGTGGGTTAGGGGGTAGGGAAGCACAGATTTGTGGGGAAGATCGTTTAGACCTCTCTTTGAGATCTAAGGAATGGGTCCCCCCACTCATTTTGGAGCATCCGTTCCAGACAAAACTGGAGCAAGGGACAGTAGCAACTATTCCTCCCACCCCCATCCTGCTCCACCATTGCCATGCAGGACTCCTTCACACGTATAATTTTGTCTCATAAAGACCTGAGACCCTGGACTTCCCTGATGGTCTAGTGGTTAAGACTCCACGCTTCTAAAGCGGGGGTGTGGGTTCGATCCCTGGTCGGGGAACTAAGATTCCACATGCTGCACAGTGTGGCCAAAAAATTAAACAAATTAAAATAAAATAAAAGATCTGAAACCCTGACTCAGGCCCAGGTCTGAGTCAGGCTCCAGAGCCAAAGACATGGCCCAGGGTAGAATGGTACATAATTTCTAGTAGCGAAGGGGAATGCTTAGTTTTAATAGAAGGATGGAGTTGAATTATGGATTGGTTGTCTTTATTTAGCAGCAACTTAATAAGCTTCTGCAGGGTGACAGGCTTGGAGCTAGATCTAGAAGATACTGAGGTAAACAAAACCTACCTCACCCTCCCAGGTGTCCGAATCTATTGATGGAGACAGATGTATGAGCTATTGATTGCTGGCCGTGATAAGTATTATAATTAGCATGGAACAGCTGGATCAGGCCAACTAAGGTGGCATGCCTCTCCTCTGGACTCTTCACATTCTCTAGGGACTGCCACACACTGGTGGTTCTCAACCTTGGCTGCACATTCAAATCCCATGGAAAGCTTTAAAGAAAATATTTGGGGACGTTTGGACATCTACGATCATAGCAGCAGCATTATTCACAGTAGCCAAAATGTAGAAAGAAAACCAAGTGTCCACTGATGGATGAATGGATAAATAACATGTGATAGATACATGCAGTGGAATATTACTCAACCTTGAAAAGGAAGGAAGTTCTGACACACACTACAGCGTGGAATAAACTTGAAGACATCACGCTAAGTGAAATAAACCAATCACCAAAGACAAATACTCTATGATTTTGCTTATATGCATAAAGACAGAAAATAGAAAGTGGTTCCCAGAACCTGAAGGGGGGGCGGGAATGAGGAGTTATCATTTAACGGGTACAGAGTTTCAGTTTGGGAAGATGAAAAAGTTCTGGACGTAGACAGCGGTGATGTTGCCCAACAATGTAAATGTACATAACACCACTGAACTGTACACTTTAAAACGGTTAAGATGGTAAAATTTATGCTATGTGGGGTTTTTACCACAATAAAAGATACAGTCCTAGGCATTGGTGTTTTTTCAAAGTTCCTCAGTTGATTTCAGTGTGCAGCCAGGGTTGAGAGCCATCTATTAGACTGTCCCTTAGAGCTGGGCCAGGGCACAAGCCTGGACAAAAGAAGAGTTGGAAGGTGGAAGGAAAGTGGGGGCAGGTGCTGTATAGGCAGCCACTGTGTCCACAGCGTGAACGGCTCTAATTGCACCCAGCTAGGAGGCTCACAGCACACGAGTCATTCAGGTGGCTACCAGCTTCGTATAAGTGGTTCTCCGTGCATAAACAGTTCACAGAGAGCAGTCATTTGCTTATCTCGCCTGGTAAGAAATCTCTCTTGTCAAAGGTGAGTGGTTTGCTGTGAGATCAGGCTTCTGGACAGGCTCTGGCTGACTCCTGGGCAGGACTGAGTGAAGGATGGGGAGGCAATGAACCTGCACGTGGTGTCACCATCCGGCCAAACCAGCTCTGGCATCGCTTCTATCTACCAGATCGCCCAAGGAAGAACGTTGGGCGCTGTCCTGGCTCTTCTCTTTCCACACCCATCAGTCATGCAGTCACCAAGTCAAATTAGTTCTGACTCTTAAAGATGTCTGAAAGCTGTTCTTAACACCACTGCCAGGATACTATTTCCAAATCTGATGATGCTCTTCCATGCATGGAAACGTTTCTCCATCTCCTGCT